AGTTTGCTGCAAGGGCTTCTCAAGTTTGTAGGAGCTTTGGGAGCCACCCAGAAGGGTACCAAAAGTCCTTGGGTATGGGCAAGGTTGGGTAATGCCTCACTGAGACTGATGGCATAATATTTCCTGGGAGTGAGAGCTCTCCAAAGACACCAGAAAAGGATCCTTCCTTTCCATCTGTGAATATCCAAGCTTTCCAGCTGAGTGAGAAAAATAGTCATGACAAATAGGAATAGGAAAAGGAAATTGTAGAAGGATTCAAGAGAGGAAGAAGACACTTTTGCCCATGTATTTTGATTTTGCTTCTCTACAAAATTAAAGCCTTGCTTCAATATGGTTTTAATTTCATAGGCCTTGGTTTAGATCCTACTCTTCTGTACACTGCACTTCCTCATGGAGCAGCCCCATTAGCAAACTACATTTATGCTAATGGACCTGCTTGCAGTGATAATTATAACAGCCCTTGGCCCTGGTCCTGGTCAGGGTCAGCACATCAGGAGGGGCTGGAAGGGCAGCATAATTACACAATTAGCCTTGTCATGGCAAGGAGCTCTGGGAACAGAGACATCTTGAAGCTTAAAATGTGGACAGCTGATGGATGACTGTCATTAAGCTCCTTTGCTCACTCCAGGATGGAACAGCCACTGAGCTATAGGGTAGGCTTCTTTCATTAAAGACCTTGAACCACAGCCACTGTCCTCCACCTTTTCCCAACCTGTCCACTTACCCCCTGTTATCCTCTCATTTCTCAGAGCTTCTCTCTCCTCACATCTGTAGCAGAGTAACAAAAGCTGTCTCTCACAAGTTGTTCCTAATCCATCAAGTCCTGATGGAGAAGAAAGACTCCTCAACTCACAGAGCAACCTCCCTTGCCCCCAGCCCTCCCTGCTCAGAGCCTCCCTCTCTGCAGGCATGAGGAGTGCAGGCCCAAACCCACTGGATTTAGGATGCTTCTGGATCAGCTTCAAAAATCAACACAGATCCTTTGAACTTCACGTAGCCTGTGTGTTTATACCCAGCTGAGAGTTGCAGTAAAAAATACACCTTCCCAAAAGAGCCTGGCACGGAAGAGACAAGCCCTCCTTGGCCAAGAGGGCTGCAGGAGGGCACAGAGTCCTGGGACTCACACCAGCTCAACAGGAGAGGTAATGGGGCAGCAGAAAGGAGCAGCAAGGAGGCTTTTCCTTTGGTTTGGTGGCTCCTGGAGGCTTCCAGCTGCAGCACTGTACCTCTGGAAGGGAATCCTCAGAGACAGCAATGGCTCCAAGTGTGCTGCAAGAGCGCTCAGCAGACTTGGAGACGTGCGTCTGCTTTGTTAAAATTTGATCCCCAAGTTCCTCTCTCTTTTTCCTTCCTAGAGTGTTTTCAAACATTGTTTTCCTGCATACCTGGATAACCAATGCTGTGCAGGGATTTAGTTAAGGTAATCTGAGAATTCTTTTATATTGAAAAGGTATAAAAAATAATCCCCTGAAGTACTTGATTTTCCTTCCACATCATTCCATTGTAACCACCTACTTCTGCTTTACCTCGTTAGTATTCTGAGGGGCTATAAAAGAACTATTACAGTTCAGAACACAAAAAAACAGGTCTGGCAGCCCCTGGGGGATACAGGGCAGAGCAGTGTGGGGCCCCAGCTGAGACCCAGGAGAGCTGAGCTGCCCTCCACAGGCAAGGTGATCATAGGCAAGCTGCCCCATGTTAGGAAGTTTGCCTCCTGACTTTTCCTCTGCCTTGACTTCTTTGGGGCAGGAAAAGTTCCTCTGCCCTTGAACACTGCTCAGCAAAATGAGTGCAGATGTAATGCAAATCAACAGCAGCAGAAAGAAACTGTAACAGAAAAACAAAACAGTAAAAGAGGAGATGGGAGTGCCCAGGTCTATGTTTAAGTTAGCATGTGTTGTATGCAATGTTGCAGAAGCAAAACTGCATTTCTGTAAGCCCCTGAGAGAGACACAGAGTTTTGCACAGCACAAAGGCCCACTATCATAATTCCAACAGAATTCCAGCTCATTTTCCACTAGTGCAACAGAGAGAGGATACAGTCTCAAACACAGGTCCTTTAGATAACCTCACCCAGTGGCAGAGGGTAAGCAACCTTTCCTGACTGAAACCCTCCAGCTGTATTCCCCTCTTGAAGGCATTTCCCTAAGAATGTCCCCACCCTCACACCTCCAAGTCATGTGTGTGGGTGTGCTGGGGCTGCCCTTGCTGAGAGAAACTGGATCAAACACATAGAAATGTCAATGCACACAGAACTCTTTTCTGTTTGCTTGTGGAGTCTTCCTGACTTATGTGTAGCTGTCACACCCTGGCTGAGAAGGATGTGATTCACTTGCTGAGAATTCACTTCCAGCCCTGTGCCATCCATACACAATTTGAGTTTCAATCCACTTCTCAAGCAGCCAACACTATGGGTGTTCATGAAGTGTTACTCCCTCCATCCATACCCTGAGGTCACCAAGGTGGGCACTCTTGCTCCCACTGCAAAATATCTGTATATATTATGAGCACAGTTCACTGCTTTACTGGACAGCAAACTCCACATAAAACTGCTGTGCTGATTTCAGAGCTAAAAGGTTTAATATTCATTTCCAAGCTAGACAGTCCCCATCGAAGTGAGACACCAGGAGAAGCCTTGATCATCTGCAAAGCAGAAGGGAAAAGCCCCCTTAGACACAGCTGCTGTCTAACAACCGTGTTTTATGCAGAATGCTTGGGGGCTACTCTATTTTTATAGCTTTCATCCATAAAATAAGAAGCTAAAGCTTCTGGAAAGAGAACACAATTACCCTACAATGATGTAGCACCAGAATAAATTCAACACAATCTGTGTAAGCAAAGAGAAAAAGCACCCAAGCTTTTTCTAATTGGCAGTAGATAATACTTTATAACTGCCCTGTCATCAGCCTTCAGAAGCTATCTCCAGAGCCATATGTGGGTTGGCAACCAGGCATAGTGGCTAACCAGTTTTGTATCTAGTTGTACAGAAGTAGAGACATATGGAAATGAACAGCCTGGCAGAACAAGTGAACTCTGAAGCAGTGACTTCCATAAATAAGTGTCTGCAGACTGGCAGATGGAGAAAAGTGCAGTTAGGGAGGGACTGTGTTGCAGCAGCAACTTGATTTTAAACAATTTGTAAAAATCAGCCTGAACTTCAGATCTGAGGCATTTCCAGTGGCTTCAGTCCTCTCCTTGTTGGGGAAAATCCTCTCCATAAAATCAGGGAAGGTGAAGGTAGAACAATGCATTTAGCAAAAGATACCAGGAGCTGCTTCAGGGAGCAGAGAACAGGACTGAGAAGTCACTGGTAATTTTTGCCTCTTACTGCTCTGCTAATCATGCTTGTGGTACCTCTCAGAAAGACACAACCAATCATTCCCCACAGCCTGGCAAAGCAACACGTGGAGAGACACTCTCAAGCCATATGGCAGCACCTGAAACACGGGCACAGAGGATACAGGAATGTGGGACACACACACACCCCTTCCCTGCAGAGAATGGGAATTTGTGCCTCTTGCTGCCTTCTGCACTCGTTCCTCTGGGGATCAGTCTTTTTTTCCTCTTACCATAGCTGAAACAATTTTTTGTGTACACCCTCTAACCCTACTTGACGTGATTATTGTGATTTGGAAGAACATCAATTTACTTAAATTTTAATTTAATTCAATTTAAATTAAATTTATTCAATTCAAACTAGTTAAGCTTCGCTAAACTCTCTCAAATTTGGGTCACCTTTTATTATAAAGGGACTCCCTTTCTGTTCCTGACACTGGCTCAGTTGATATTAGATGTATGATCTCACTGCTTGGTCACCACCTCAGATCTCACATGGCTGTCACTGGTCCAAGGTGCCATAGGCACACACACAGTGAAAATTATGGAGGATTACCTCTGCACTGATGCCACTCTGTAAATGTTTGGCATCAAATCATAACAGCCACTATCAAATCAAAAGAGTGAGGAGCAGATGGGGAGGAGGCTGTGGTGAGAGAAAGGACTCAAACAGGAATATGGATTTTCTCTTCCACCTTCCCTGGTCTGGTATCAGCCCTAAATAAACCAGCAAAACAGTTGCTGAATCCCCAGTTTTTTTTCCTTCAGTAGTAAAAGATTAACATTACAGCTTGAATTAAGATTTTGCAATAGGTGTTGTAGGAAATTCGCTTAAGGCTGCAGATTTAATGTGAGATAGTAGTGGCACATGTTTATCACAAGCTTTTTCACCAAAATAATCCAAAAATTTAAACAACTTCCAAGTAACTCAATGCAAAAAGCAGGCTCCAGATTGACACTTGTTGTAACATCATTGTGAATAACCCTAGTTCAAAAGCACCTTTAAAGTGGGTAACTTATGGCCTTCTACACTGCAGGATCTTGCTATTCTTTGCAAACTATTTTCTTAGTACTGAGAACTTCTTCTTAGTACAACACAGAATACCTAAACACACCTAAAGCCAGCTGTAAAATGTTGTGTCAAGGGTATTTTGTGACCCAAACATAGCAGGGTCAGCACCTGGGGAGTGACATGGAGGACATTTTTATGAAGTGACATGTTTATCTTCCTGGCAGTGTGGGGGCAGACAATTGATGACATAATCTGGCAATGCAGATCCAGAAGGGCTGAAAACCAATATATATATATATATTAACATATATATTAACAGTGAACAACAGAAGAGCCTGAAAACCCATCCTGTGTCCAGCCCCAGATTTCACATGAGGGCTCCTTCCTTCATAAGGTAATGAACTCCACCCCTCATTAACACTGATTTGGAAAGGCACTCAAGAAAAACACTCTGGTTCACATATTGACAAGTCATCTATAACACTGTAAGCAGCCAAAATAGTGTGCATTTCAAGAACCACCCAACATTCTTGGAAACAAAACCAGGCCTGAAAAAAGCCCAACATAAACAAAAAAAGAAAAGTCACGTTTAAAAGTTAGTTATGAAAACGATAAGAAATGATTAAAAAAAACCCCAACATGAACCACATACCTTAGCTATTTGGACACACCAGTTCAGCAGGAGCTGGGAGCCAATATTATCCTTGTGTTCATGGACATAATCCAGGAGGCAGCCGTGAGGCATCAGCTGAGTGACCAGCTGGATGGTGGGGCTCAAGCAGACCCCCAGGAGTCTCACCAGGTGTGGGTGGTCCATGCTGGCCATGATGAGAGCTTCCTGGAACGATAAAAGTGACCCAAACGTTACCCCAGCGTGCTCAAAGATGCCCAGGAGTGACTAAAGGGGATCAGGGTCCCCTGAGCACCATGAATTCCTGTCTATCCATTGCTAGGCGTTCCTAGGGAGTCTCCAGTCTGATGGAATGCCCACGTGATGTTCTGAGTCCCAAAAAAACAAAGAGTCTGCACAAATCTAAAATCCTGCACTGCCCTGAATTCCCTGTCCTGTTGCAGGCAGAAAGACATAGGTGTGACACACTTCAAGTCTCCTTGGTCTTCTTTTGCTGCCTTTTTGGGACTACCTAAAAACAGAGGCCAAACAAAATTAAGGGAATAAAAAGTGGGTATACTTATTGAAAAGCCTTCAGGTACATTTAGGGCAGATGAAGCTCCCCCAGGGGCTACACCCAAAAGAAAATGGATGATGGGCCATGTGTTTTCACACTTTTATAAGTTTGGCTCATTTGCATATTGGGGGTTAATCTTCCCAATATGAGAGGCTGCAGATAATGAAGTCATTTACCCCAAGTTTGCTTTGTAAATCTGAGCCTCTTAGCTCAGTGAGATTCTTCCATGACCTCTTCCATCAGATCTTGGATGAGTTCATTTTGGTTTTTTTTCCACACTTTAGCTTTTCACTCAGAAAAGGCTTTATTTCCCTTTTCCAGACTATAAGAAGTTTACAACAACCACGCTGGGTTTCAGCTACCAAGCTGGTCCAGGACCAAGGACCAGAAGGTTTAATCTTGGCTATGCTATGTGACCCTAAAGTTCACACCCTGACTTTATAAAATCCCTACATGATTGTTCTTAGAGGTAATGCTGCCATCACAAGTAACTGGCTTTCAAATGTAGCAAGGAGAAAGCTCTTCTCATTCACTGAGTCCTCCATTTCAAGACCACTTCATCATGGCAATGGAACAATGAAAAGTGAGTTGAAATTGTGGCTTTGTAAGGCTATTTTGGCTGTCTTCTTTTTTTTTTTTTTTCTCAAAAAAACCCCCTAATATGACATCTGACAACTTACAGAATAACAGCTGTAATAGTGCCAAAGAAAGAAAGAAAAAAAAAAAAAAAAAGGATGAGACAAATTTGCTACCAGAGGAACATAAATTTGGGGGATTTTTTTCCCTTCCCTATATTAAGGCAAAAGAGAAAAAAAAAATTTAAAAAAATAAGTTCTGGCAACAGGCTGAGTTTGTATTAAAAGAAATTGCTCATCATAGTACAAAGAATATTTGAAACCAAATTGCAGATATTTGCATAATAGTTCTTTTACTTTCTTTCCCCCCTCTCTTTTTTTTTGGTAAAACAAAAAGATGAACAAGACACTAATTGTAGGGTTTTTTCCCTCCCAATAAGAAAAGAGCAGCTGGTCCTCACTGTGGGGAGTGACTCCTTCCCTTTTCTTCCTCAATGTATGTGAAGAAATAAATAAATGAATAAATAGGGGCTATTTGATGGGATAATGGAGGAGCAGATCTGAGAAAGATTCTGATGCAACAAATTAGAAAAGGGATCTGAATTTAACTACTTTTGCTCACATTCAAATTGATACAGTTCCCACTCACTTAACTCTTAAGTACGGGGACTCCTTGAAACAATTTTAGCCTTTTTTCTGCTGTGACTCGAAAATGTCCCTAAAGGACACCAGAATAAATACCTGTAGACAGGTGAATTATCCAGTTTCCAGAGCACAAAATTACTCTGCCTCATTTTTTCCTTCTCATTCTATTCATTTTTTCTCCTGCAGATGCATACAGGGATAGCACTCGCTGCCCACTCTGAGTAAAGGTAAGAGTTTCCCCACGAGCTTGGAGCTGGAGTACTTTTCTTTATAATCTGGACTGATTAGAAGAGAGATGAGATATTCTTTTTTTGTCTTCCAAGGGCCCACACAGAAAGCTTTGAAGCTCTTGTCCATTAGTCTCCAGCCACTTTCCATTGCCAAGTCTATCTGTGTCCAAAGGAAAACCACTTCTGTGCAATAATCAAAGCAAGTAGTGCTATTTGTCTCATTCTGTTGTTACAGGAAAGCACATGCTTTTCCAATAGTTCTGGGCAAGAGTTTCAGGAAAGAAAGGTAAAAACATATTAATAAAAACAAAACTAACAAAAAACAAAAATATTTTTTATAAAATGTTATGGACATCTCCATAATGAATTAAGGCACACACAAAGAGCAAGGAAATCTTCATTACAGATCTAAGCCACAAGTAGATACTAATTTAGCATGAATCCTGGCTTCACATAGTTATCCTCATTAGTAAAACTATTATTATTTTTAATGAACTTCCATCTACATAGGAAGTAAAATCGGGGCTATGTGTATCCAGCACAGCACAAACACAAAGTAAAAGAGATTGAAATTGTTCTGCTAGAGCCTACTTAGACAAAACAGACAAACAACAACAGGAGCATTATGACTTAGCAGCGTTTTAAGAATTGGTTCAGCAAACAAGGAATACAAGTCTCCAGTTTCAAACCTGCTAGGACATGAAAAACCCTAGAGCTGTAATCTTTGTGGCACTTTGACACTCAGCAGCCTGGTTCCTAATATAATTCCTGAAACATTTTAAGCAGCTGAGGCACCTAAACTCACAAACTTGGCTGGTGGCACTAGCATCTTTCAAAACCAAACTCTGCAATTTGCTGGACCTTTTGGTAGCTGTGTGTCTGCAGCTCTTGTCTCTCACTCAATTACACAATTACACAATTACAGGAATGAGTTTGAAATTCTAATTTAATGGAGAAGAAACTGAGGTACCAAAAGGGTACAACCTTTTATCCAAAGTCACATGGGAAGTCTGGAGCACAAGTGGAAACAGTGCCCCAGATCACTACTTTTGTCTCCTGAAAAAAATCATGTCCATCATTCCTCTCTTCTGCCCCTTCTCAACTAGGTTACGTTCCTGCTCCATTAAGCTCAGCTCCTGTGATTTATACACACAAGCCTGTATCCAACAGCAACATTAAACAATGACATAAATGCTATTTTAATGTTCACACTTATCTGCCTGCCATGGGCACTAAATAAGAAGACAGCAGCCCAAAGAAGGTTGAGTTTGCAGGTCCTAGTGAGCAATCACCAGAGCAAATGAACCGAGATACTTAAAAACAAAAATAAGTAATCTTTCTATACATCCATGCTCCAAGCACAAAGTAAGGTGAATGCTTGCAGAACTACAGGTTCATCAGAGGTTGTTGCATGGAGGTGCAGCAGTGCACATCCAGGTCCAGATCCTGCATTCACACTCACCTGGCCTTTTGCTTTTTCTACAGGGAAATGCTGAATTTGGCTGGCACGGCAGGAAATAACTAGAGGTCCAAAATCCCTGTCATTGAGGGGGTTTAAAGAGCTGTTAGCCAGAGTTTTGCACTAACCATCATCTCCTTGAAACTCCCTCCATGCCTGTTTTGCTTTGGGAAGCCTTGTTAAGCAGCCTGTCTGTGCAACCAAAGAGGGAAGGTCACACCATGAGTCTTGTTTGCATTTCCCCAGAGCCAGGACAAACTCTTCGGATTAAGAAGGCTGCAGGTTTTGAAGGGGTGGTTTTGGACTTCGTATCTTTTGGATGTAAGAGATTTGGGCTTTTTTGGGTTCAGTTTTCAATGAGAACCTTAAGCATAGGTTCACTGGGTAGTCAGTGGAGTCACTCAGACTGGAGTACAAGTGTGCTGCACCATTAAGTGGTGAGACTCAGTCGTTCAGAATGTTCTGGAAGTCCATCTGTCAGGCGTGCCACTACTCTAGGATTAAAAACTAAGAATAAAAAATAAAACAGAAATAAAATTCCACTTCAGGGACCACACCCTGCAGTCTCATGCACAAATGTGATGGAAACAGCATCAGACAAGTGCCACTCACTTGACTTCAATCAAGCCAGTGCCACCAGGAGAAGATGGCCCCAGGCCAGTGTCCTGCAGCCTGGTGAGGAGCCAGGCATGGCACAACACTGTGCTCTTACTGCCCACCATCAGAGCTGCTCTCTGGCTGCTCTCTCACTGCTGAGAGCCTTTTCTGTATCTTTAAATGTGCTGCATCTCTCAGAGCATGCAAACCCTCTGAGACTGCCCTGCCTGTCACAGCACTTGCACAGCACAGAGGGTACCAGTCTGACTGATTCCTCACAGGCACTGCTTGCATTGTTGACACTGAATTCAAAAGCCAGCCATTGCCCCATGTGATTCAAATGCTTTGGAGAGATGCCCCACTTTCCTCCAAACACTCAAAACTAGCACAAATCAGGGAGGCAAAAGCTCTCCCTCTTGAAGGTCATACTTGCAGACCACTGGGTCAAACCTTCCTGCCCACCTCAGAGCAGCAGGTCCTATTCATGCAGGAATAGACACCTTTGTGCTCTTACAGAAGCAATTCTGGCTCACTCTGTATTTTGGAGCAACATAAAATAAATTAGGATAAAAAGCAGTACTGTGATCCCTGTCCTGCAAACACTGAGGGCATGGGACCACGTGCTGACTCCAGCTGGGCTCAGGTGATGAGAATTAATGCTGAAATGCTTGAAAGTGTAGGAGATAAATTTTGTATTGTTTGTTTCTTCTTCCTGCTTTGTGCCAATCAAGTTTCCCAGTTCATCAGAGCCTGAGTGAACAGAGGAGGAACTTCAGTTCTAAAGCAATAGGCCTGTAGTACACAACAAACCAAATGTAGGTTTTTCATCAAAGATCTGATCAGGGACAGCTCCCACCAGCATTTCTGTGAATCCTGCCCTGAAGAAATGATCACAGTGATGAAAAAGCCAAATCTAGCCCATTTTCAGTTCACTCTTATGCATAAAAGCCCAGGACCTCAGCAACCAGAATTTTTCTCACTGAAAGTTGTCAGGACAAGTAACAGAGGGATTCCCCCTTTGGAGATCAGCAGTAGGTGATTTAATGGTAAAAATATCGTGGCATTGTGACAAATGTTTTACTTACAGCCTGTGACACACATCATTATTTCAGAGCAGTCTGTCCAAAGTGATTTGTTTCTCACCA